GGCCGTTACTGGCTTACGGAACCTTAATGCGCTTGAATAACAGAAGTACCTCTATTCATAACTCAAAACTAGTCAAAGTTAAAAGGAATCATTCTTTTAAACCTGTTACAAATTGATATATAAGCCAAGCTGTATTTCAGTTCATCAATCTAATTATACCACAAAAAAGTGTTGCTTCTCAACATTACAACACCAGACGGGAAATTCACAATGTGCTCCTCCATATATGTCTTTTTCTACGACCAGAGCCAAATCGATGGTAAACTGTTGTTTGGCTGATTAACTTGCAGATGCTCAAGCCATTTATTTGCAGCTTGAAGGAAAGAAGAGAGCTGGTGGCACTCTTGAGCCTTGTTTTGGTTCCATGCAGATACGACTTCAAGCCCCAGGAGAAGGTTTGCCAATTGCAGATTAAATTATCACTGCCAACTTAGAGAAACCGATATCTATTACATTTGCCCTCGTGTCTATTTCAAGTAAGATGCTACTTGCCTTGAGATCTCTAATTACCTGAACACAAGATGTGCAAAGAAACTCAATCCATGCATAAACACAATTAAAACCAACCTAATCAGCTACCCAAATTATAACAGAGATCAATAAACCTTTTTGTTTCGTAATAAGGTTCATCAGACCACGGGCTGCATCTCCAACTTTGGAGAATGCATCCATATTTTAAAGTAGTGTATTGTTTTTTTCTTATTTAGCCAAATACTTGTATTTGTTTAATAATAATTAAACAACTATAAACTAATTAATTAATGACTAAAAAGTGAATTGGTGTATTAAAATATTTGATTAGAGGAGTTATATTGTTGTTATATAAAGCCTTTGAAAATAACTGAATGATAATGATAATGTTTTCAAGCAGAGGATTCTTCAAAGAAATCATCATTTTGGAAAATTGAAAACCTGGAGGAGTCGTCCTTCTTCTTCACTGGTTGAGATCGGAGAATGGCGATTATATATGGTCTCTCGACTTTTACTTCGGAGCTCAGTAATCAAGCTGTCTATTTTAAGTTTGTGCTTCCAAAATCACTGTTCATGAGAAGAGGTAGGGGTGACTAAAGCAAGACAACCATCTCGTAGATAGTAGGTTTGGACTCTTGCACCATCAACGGATGTCTGGTAGCGGCAGCAATGGAGAGAAGCATCTGAGGGTTGCGATATGGGCGCTACGGTCCCAAGAAAACTGAATTTGGTTACTTTCGTGGGCAAGAGCAATGTGGTTGTTAAGTTGTCGAGCGACAGAGGTTAGATTCAACATCTCTTCATTCATGTTCATACCTTCCACAAGCTTCTCATGATGGTATTGCTGCTGGTAACATAAAGATATTCTAGGAATAATACGAAAAAGAGAAGGCACCACATGTTTTTACCAATAAAACTAAGTAAGACGAAGAGATTAGTAGTGCAGCAATCGAGAGAAAAGGAAAAAGATAATAATATATATATAGCATGACCACAATCCCGGAAATGGAGTTCCTTGGTTCAGTCTGAGGCTCTGAGCAGCCTTGGTGAGAATGAATAGCATGACCACAATCCCAGAGAGCAGCCACCAGACCAGATTCGAGATCTCCAGCTATGCTCACTATGACTTCCCTCGTGTATGGATTAAGAGTCGGGAACGTCTTACCTAAACCCCCAATTCAAAAACCAAACATTTGTGCTCATGGAAACTGGATTTCAAGAGTCAAACTTTTCCTTTTTTATAGGGAGAATTGGAAAAATGAGACACTTTGAACTTTTATTTGTCCATATAGGACTTCTCATAATTTTGGCAATTTTGGACATGTTTTACCCTTTATTAATGAAAAAAAATAGTAAACTAATTTTGAAAAATATAAAAAAATATGAGAAGGCTAGAAAAAATAAGTATGACAACATATATGTTTAAGTTTTATTTTTTAAAAGTGGAATCATATTTTATTTTATCTTCTAGCTACAGATAGAATACTCATTCTGGTTATCTACTCAGTTTAGAAATCATATACTGGGTGTTCTTGCTAGATAGATCCGAGGTATGAAACTTAATATAACATTTCTTGTCTATTCTAACCAAGATAGTATTGGTAACGTTATAATCAAGGTATATGTCTTTGGTGTACGTGAAGCTAGATACCGATTTATAACCATAACTTATTGTCATACCTCGTCCAGATTTTGTGCCATAACCAATTCTGCATGTTACCTTATGTGACGCTTGATAAATAATACGTTTCCCACCTTTTCTACTGTGTTCTGCCTTAGGTAGTATACATATTCTAGGTAATCCGTAAAATATGGAAACTTCCATATTCGGTTGGAGATGTTTCCTAAATATCTTAGAGAATATTTTGTCCACGATTTTCTCTTTTCCTCACGATCTTCTTCTTTGTTTTCTCTGTGTGTTCTACCTTCTTCATCAAAAAGCTTCATCTTTTCTTCTTATCAATACAAGATGGTTCTAACCTATGTTAAATCCGGTGAATGGATATCTAGTTGCAATGACGTGTGGAGTTTCGTGGCAGAGGTCGAATGGTAACATTGGAAACTAGTACTCTGTTGGAGGAGCTCAAGATGACGGTGTGTGAGGATTACGGGGTGGAACATAATGCGGCTAACGTCGAGTTCAGTTATGAGATGGTAAATCAAAGAGGGAATCCTCCCATTATTATTAGCAACGATCGACAAGTATCTAATTTTCTGGGCTATGCGAAAAAGGGTTCATCTACAACCTTGTGTGTGACGTTCTCTGGTACTGGTGTAAATCAAAAGGAACGAGTCAATATCGACTTGAATGAGAAGCCATGTGATTCAAGCAATGTTCACGAAGAGGAAATTCCAGAAATAAATCGAGCAGCCTTTGTCAACCCGTCAAAAGAGTCTTCTGATACAACGAAGGATCTTGTCCATGCGGATGGAGATAGTGAAAGGATGCTCGATCTTGGAGAGGAGATTTCGTGACAAAGGATCAAATTTTCAGAAGCAAAGCGGTTTTGAAGGCAACAATCAAAATTTTTGCGATGAAGAATAATTTTGATTACACAGTACTCAAATCGACAAGGAAATGGTGGTATATTCGATGTAAGGATACATTGTGCAACTGGTCGGTGCATGCAGAATGTATGGATGGGTCTACCTATTTCATGATCAACAAATGCGAGGGAAGACATTCATGTGCTCCTTCGAAGAAAAGCAAATTTGGAAAAACAGTATCAGCAAGAACAATTGGGACTCTGATACAACATCGGTTTGATGATGCCATCGATGGCCCAAAAGCGAATGAAATCATTCAATTTATGAGACTGGTGTATAGCTGCGAGATTACTTATGGACACGCTTGGGAAAGTCATGAGTTTTGGATTGCAGCTGCTAGAGGTATACCAGATCATAGTTATGCTAAAATGCTAAAATATTTGCATATGATCAAAGAAGCTAATCCTGGTACACATACTCACTATGAGACTAAGGAGAATGGGAGATTCAAGTATCTATTTATGTCGTTTGGGCAATCAGTTAGAGGATTCTACAATGCAATGCGAAGGGTGATTGTTGTTGATGGAACTTTTCTAAAAAATAAATACAAAGGAGTTCTACTTGTTGCTACTGCTGTTGATGGTAACTCTAATTTGTATCCGATTGCTTTTGGAGTGGTTGATTCAGAGAATGGCGATTCATGGGGGTGGTTCTTCAGACAGTTGAAAGTGGTTATTGCTGATTTTCAAGACTTAGCCTTTATCTCTGATGGGAATTCGTCAATCAGCAAAGCGGTTGGGACTGTCTACCCTCAATGTTCACATGGAATTTGCATTCACCATTTGTTGAACAATGTGGTTTCATTCTTCAAGACAAAAGGGTTTTCTGCCTTGGTCGAAAAAGCTTCACGAGCATATAGGTGCACTGAATTCCAGGAACGCATTACCAATTTTTTTTAATATGAGTCCTGACCTTGGAAGATATCTACGTGAGGCTGATGTGCGAAAATGGGCTTGTTCTCTCTTCCCTAGATCCATGTATGACATTAGGACCACAAATGCTGCAGAGTCGATTAATTCAGTTCTGAGAACACCTAGAGAATATCCGGTTATTCCTTTGCTAGATAGTATAAGAGAACTGTTGACTCGATGGTTCTATGAGCGTCGCTTGTTAAGCTCGAAGCAACTCGATCCTTTAACAGTTAAGGTGGAGAAAAAGATTGATAGGAGAATTGTGAAGGCAAAAGGATTTCAGGTTTACAACATAGACAACTTCAGACCGCTTGTGAAAGGTGACACTTATGATTGTCATGTTGATTTGGAAAGGAAAACATGCACATGCCGGAAGTTTGATATAGGAAAAATACCTTGCCGATATGCCATTCCTGCAATTTATTCACGGCGTATGGAAGTTCACAGATTTACTGATGATGTATATACCACTGCAACATGGAGAACTGCCTATGCGGAAAGCATTAATCCTATAGCAGTTCCACAGTCCGAGTGGAAAGTCCCAGCTGAGGTTAACCTTGCAAAGGTATTACCACCAGATACAAGAAAGAGTGCTGGTCGACCAGTAAAGAGAAGGTATGAATCAGTAGAAGACAAGATAAAATCTTCTCAAGGATCAAAGAAGAATAAAAAGCACAAGTGCAGCCGTTGTGGTACCAGAGGACACAAGAGAGGAACATGCGATGTACCCATTCAGTGTTTGTTATTTGTGTTCTTTTGTCTCTCAGATTTTTGTTCTTCTTATTTCCCATGAAACAAATCGATCTTCTGTTTTATTTCTCTTCGATCTTCTGTTTTATTTCTCTTGCAACAAAATTGATTCACGTTAATGACTATATTTCTCTTTGAATCAGTTTTGATCCTCGGGTGTGTTGAATCATGAGTCACCTTGTCACATAAATTTAAAAAAAAGCATAAAACTGAAGTTGTCATTTGTTTCATAAATAACCAAAGCTAGAGTTTTGTTACATAAACTGAAGTTGTCATTTGTTTCATAATCAGTCATCTTCTGACAGGTCATAGACCCCATGCTTACCCCATGGTGAAGGCACATATATATTGAGTCATAACCTGAGCTAAGATGGGATCGTGTGAAGCCTCCCATAAGTCCACATCAGTCTTTTGTCTGCAGCCCTGGATGATTTCGTCATCTACTAAACCGAGGTCGAGACCAAGGAGATGGCATTGCAAGTGTTTGAGTGCGTATGCTCCGCAATCAGCAGAACTCTTGTTCAACCTCGCCTTCATCGGTACATCTACTATAGAATATGGTGATATGAGTAGCTGCTTCTTGCTTTCAGATGGTGCAACGGCCTTCACTGTCTGCGGAATCAAAGCCGCAAACTTCTCAACGTATTGCCTATTCCTTCCTCTATTGCAATCAAAGACTTCCACTTTTCTCTCAATGATGTTGATGCAGACAGCAATCCAGTGATTGCCTGTGTTGGATTTATACTAAATTGGTAAGTGAAGAAACAAATTTTGAGACATGAAGAGGAACCGGCGATTACCATTTACAAACTGAGGAAAATAGAGACGATCAACATCGACACCCCAGACTTGATCAGTCCGACCATGAGCTGGAAGCTCTCCTCTGTCGTAAGAAATAAGAAACTCATGCAATTCATAAGCTTTTTTGTTCGGGACAAACTTGTTGAATTCAGTGTCCATTTGGAGGCAGAAGATGGAGGGCATGAAAGCAACACGGGTTGGGGTCCAACGCTTGAAAGATGTGTTCACTCGCCATATAAACATAATTGAATCCATTTTCTGAATATTCACAAGGACAGAACACCATTGAAGCATCAAAGATGTGTTACAAAGGTATATTCACCACAAATACACTAGTATAAGAAATCATTACCTCATTGCCAAGCCATTCTGAAGAACATATTATCCTTGTAGCTACAGCCAAATTGAAGAATGAAGGACCAATCTTTACAGCTATTGGGTTCATACACCATTCCATGAATCATGTCCATGATTTTTCGGAAAAATAACAAAGTGACGACTGCGGAGAACCGTCGGGCAATGGGTTATCGAGAAGCTAGGGTGTACTGCGGAGAACCGTCGGGCAATGGGTTATCGAGAAGCTGGGGTGTACTGCCTTTGCTTTTCCATTTCTTCCATTGCGACGGAGGTGGAGTTGTACTACCTTTGCTTCGTTTAGCTTTTGAACCTCTGACTGAAGTCATCGGAGTCCACCAGTCATCTTCCTTAGAGGTATGAGATGGATCAAAACCCTGCATATACGAGGGCTGAGACAGCCTTTCAACACCTTGCGTACCCATCTCTCGGAAGATATCATCTGCTTCACTGAAATTCCCATCGGCTGGAGTATGAGACGCTTCCTGTAATGGGAAACTAAATGATCAATTAAAAGCATAATATTAAGCACAAGAAAATTTGTGAAAATACAATCAAAATTACACACTGCAAGATGTCTAGTCATTACTGAAACATCTTAGCAAAGTTCACAACCATACATAAGTTTAAAACAAAACACATACAAACCAATGACAAGTACACACAAAGACCTTATAAAACACAACAAAAGGCAGGCCGATATCATAGATGACAATAACACAAACAAACACACAAAGATAGAAGACTAGTGTTTCTTTACCCCGCGAGTGGACCTCCTAAACTATGCCTGGCTCGTCGATGGCTTCGTCGGTGTAGGCTGTCCATCGTTCCCGGAATCTTTGAGCTCAACTCTAGCATCCTTGCGCGATCCTTTCAGCTCGGACTGCAGTGTCTCAAATTTCTCATCCATCTGTTTCTGTAGCCTAAGTTCCATTGCATTGAAATTCTGCTCAAATAACTCTTTCACCCAAGCCTTCATGTCATCATTAAGAACCGGTTGCTTAGGTTCAGTAGATAGAACCTTATGTTTCCTTTTATCCATACCACGATCCGGGAGCCTCTTCTTACTTTTTTTTTGATGAAATGCCTACACTAGTTGATCCATTTGGAGAGTGAAAGTCTTCATCACTCTCTGCTGCTCCAGCATTCACAGCTGATTCATCATCCAGATCCAGAGAAACCTCTGCAGTTTCTTCGGAAGCCCAAACATGGTCACTGAAGTCATGCTTAGTCCTTATCAACTCATCAGCTCCTTGACTCTATCATCATTCACATCTTCTCTGTGAAAACAACTCACGACTACAACCATATTCCCTCTCCATGAGATGTATGGATAGGTGACATCCTACACAAGAAAGGTAAAAAAGTTAGAACCTCAAAAATAATTTTAAATCGGATTATTAATCTTAAATATCGAAAATTACCTCAGCAGTAAATATGTTCTCCAAGCGGTTGCTCTCCTCATATGACACCTTTGCAGCACCTCTACAGTTTATGCACATAGGACCGTCCTTAAAATCTTTGCTCAGTTTCTTTCCACAAAGCTTCCCAAGCTTTGGTACAGCTTCCATTGCCCAAATCTGCAAGGCGTAGGAGAAACCATCAAACACATAACTAGTAGTTTTATCCTTCAGCTTGTCACGATTCTTAGCTATTGATTCGCAGAGAAGATCATGAGCAGCAACTCCCCATAGATACTTTCGAACCTTCTCAAGATCCATGACCACCTTTACCCATTTGAGGGGGATATTAGCTTTCTCATCTCTCGCTTAAACCACACAAAGAATGAAGGACATGTATATCAGTCGAATGCGATCTGAATTTTTCCACTTCATAACCGCTGACTTGTGGTTATTCCACAGCTTGAACAGTGTTTGTTTCCCATCTTTTCTCTTCAACACCCTGCTCCAGAAACCGTCATCATCTTCCCATTCGTCAAACTCCTCAAGTGGGATACCAGTATTGCACTCAAACCCGGTTACTGCATGGAACTCTTGAAGTGAAAATCGAAGTGGTCTCCTCACAAAGGCAAACCAAAGCTCGTGATGTTTGTAAGTCACAAGCTCCCTACACAACATGCTGTGTATCACTCTCGCAGAGTATCCAAGACCATTCTCTTATAGCTTGAAAATCTGATAAAAAGTCGGATCTTTCTTCAGAACATCCAACTCCCTTGGCAACCACGCTTCAAACTTTTTCAGAATGTAGTCGATCCTGCAGTTGTTATTTATCTAAGTCACTTGGGTCTCCTCGCCCTCTTTAAAAAGTCTATTTGGCAACTCCCCAGCCATACCTACTAGCCATGAAAAAATAGTTAGTTGCAAGATCAAACAAGAACTCATTGATTTCAAACATAATTGAACTACATTACAATCGGAGAACAACTAAAAAATAGACAGGTCTAAACAAACTTCGAGAAGAAAAAATAGATCAATCATGCAGACCACAGAACCACAGGTCCCACCCGGCTTGGTTCTATGTCTTTTTCTTATATTAAAGGATGATAAGAAAGTGAAAAAATAGATCAATCATGCAGACCACATGACCACAGTCTCCAACTTCTTACGAAAGCATTATACATTTCGACTTAACCTCTGTCCAAACACATACGGCGTATAGAAACGAAAACAATTCAAAGGTTTGTGTAAGCGTAATACGGTTCATTGGTTACAACAGAAACACATTTTAGAAAAAGACTATGCGTTCCTTTTACACAATCGGACAACAACTACTATCAGATTTCAAGACCCGAATTTCATGACCAATCGATTTGTTATATGAAAACATTCACACTCGGACAACAACTAGTAACAACTAATCTACATGCAAACATACACAATCGGACAACAACTAGTATCATATATCATGACCAATCGATTTGAAAAAAAAAAATCACGGTTTAAGATAAGGGAAAAGTTGAAGCATAAGATAATTCATGGTTAAACACAATACCTAGTGTTAAGAACTGTGAGTTATTAACGAAATTGCTGGAAGAACCTTTTGATTTGGAATTGGCCCGACAAAAATCGGTGGTGAGGAAGAAGAGTTGGATTTCGGTGGAAAAGAGATGGATAGAAGAGATGGATTTCGGTAGAGAAGAGATGGGTAGATGAAGATGACTTGATTTAGAAGAGAAGGAGAAGGATGGATGGAGAAGACCGAAAAATCGCCATGGGAGAGGGAAGAAGGTCGACGGCGGAGGAGAAAGAGGGGAAAATGATTTAGGGTTTTTTTTTTCCTTTTTTTTTTAAATATTTACTTGAGTATTAAATTTAATACGGAAATAACAATTTAATATTTTATGAAAAATTAAATTTGATCAATTTTAAGGGTATAATAGTATTTACAAGAATTAAAATCTTATTTTCCCAAACATATTTATAAAAGTCCTAGAGGGACAAATCTAAGTTCAAAGTGTCCTAAATTTCCAATTTTCTCTTTTTTATATCTCTGTTTCTAGACGAGTCAAATGCTCTCATACCCCTATGCTTTATTACACAATCTTCCAAGGACAAACTATAATTTTATTATTATTTTGATTTATTTTTAATTCGAAAAGGAAGTTAGTGACAAAATCTATACTATTAAAGCTGAAGTACAAAAAATTAGTGTTTGGAAACATGAATAGGTATTTAAAATTATAATGATTGGAAACAAGGATAGCCTACAAATCTAATGGGCTTATTTATTAAACTAAAGATTACTGCGGCCCAAAGTATCCTTATTATTGTTTTTGGGTTTCTATCATTGATATTACTTTATTTCTGAAAATTATTTATTTTCAGAATAATATATATTTTATTTATATAATTTATATTGACTATTGTTATAAATTTTTAACAGTGATATACTAGCCCTTCAATTCTTCATGAAAAAATTAACTTAAAAATTTGAATAAATTTTTTAATGTATATAACTTTGCACCAAATTTAGCAAAAAAATTTTTTATAAACTATTAATAAAATGTTTACGGGTCATAATATTTTACGATGCTCCTGTTACACAATACAGTGATGAAATACAATGTTTAAATAATGTACTATTACTTAGTCAAATTGGAACCATTAGATTGTAATTTTTGAAATGTTTATATATACCATAAAAACAAATACCCGCCCAGTCGGGCGGGTTATGATCTAGTTACTCTTAAACCTAATAACAAAATTACCCTACACCGGAGAACTGCCTTCGGTCCTCCAAACTGACTTATTCGTGGCAACCTTCCGGCCGAAAACAATACTCTAACCACTGAGTTAAGTAGTTCTATGAACAATCTTTTGCGGGATTGCATTTTCTTTATAGTGGAAATGCCATAAAGCACGAGCCAAGTCTTTTTGTTACTGACAATTTCTCTCATTTTATTTTTCGGCGATTTTTCTTTTCTTCTCCTTTCTCCTTTCTCTGCGACTGAGACTGCTTCATATTCAGATTTGTTCTTAACAAGAAACGGCGATTCAGATCTGTTCATAACAACGACAAAGATTCAGATCTGTTCATAACAAGAAACGACAATTCAGATCTGTTCATAACAATGACAACTCTACCTAATTTGATGAGCAATTCTGGATTTCCTTGATTTAGTTTTTTTATTTTTATTTTTGGTTCTGGGTTCTTATTGTTTCAGATTGAGGGACTTAGAGTTCTTAAACGAATTAGGATTGTTCTATGTTTCAAAGATATCTGAATTTTTTTTATTTTTTATTTATTCATCTTCATATCTAAATTCAACGTATCTCGGTATTACTAACTCAGTCGAATTCAGTATATAGTACGTAGTACTACTGAGTAGTACACAGTAATACTTAGTAATACTCGGTAGTACTATTTAGAGCATTATTATCCTTAAAAATCCACTTGAGTTTCTTAATTTTTTTTTCTTTTTTGTCTAAAAAACAATTTAAAAGTGGGCCAATCGAGGGCCACCACGTGTCAGCGAGGCCTGTGAATAGTGCAAGAAACCCATAAGAATCGGTTCTTAATTCATAGTTTTTGTAACCGACTCTTATACTGTTCATGGAACTCACGTAATAAAAACTCCCTAATAAACCCACTAAGAAACCCCTATAATCATGCTTTTAGTACTACTACTGAATACTACTACTCAGTATAACTCAGTCAAACTTGGTATAACTAACATCATTATTACGCAGTATAAGTGTATAACCAATAAAACTCAGTATACCTAGTAAAGCTCAATATTATTAGTTCAGTAGCACAACTCAGTATAACTCAGTACAACTATGTAAAACTATATCAAAATTCGAAATTTAAAAATTTGAAATTGTAAAAGTTGGAATTTTTTATTTTAAAAAAATAATTTCAAAAATACAAAAGGGAAAAATCGGATATTCATCTATACTATTAAAGCTGAAGTACAAAAATAAAGTGTTTGGAAACATGAATAAAAAAATTTTAAAATTTTGATTGGAAACATGGATATCATACAAATTTAATGGGCTTATTTATTATACTAAAGATTACTGCGGCCCAAGGTACCATTATTTTTTTTTTGATTTTCTATCATTGATATTACTTTACTTCTAAAAATTATTTATACATATATGTATTCATGTTTTAAATGTATTTAGAATAAATCAAGAATAATATATATTTTATTTATATAATTTATATTGACTATTCTTATAAGTTTTTAACAGTGATATACTAGCCTTCCAATTCTTCATTAAAAAATTAAATTAAAAATTTGACTAAATTATTTAGTGTATATAAATTTACACCATATTTAGTCAAAAAACTTTTTAAAATATTACTAAAATGTTTACGGGTCACAATATTTTAAGACGCCTATGTTACACAATACAATAATGAAATACAATATTTAAATAATATACTATTACTTAGTAAAATTGGCACCATTAAATTATAATTTTGAAATGTTATATATACCATAAAAACAAAGACCCGCCCAGTCGGGCGGGTTATGATCTAGTATTTCATTAAAGAAATATGGTCATAGGAGATTTGAGAGGCCCATAAAGGATTGACTCTAAACATATGGGGGCATGAGAGGAGATGCCTCTTTCTAGACAGAGAATTTTTAAAAATGAAAACTTTACTCACCAGAAGCAGCGTCTATGAAATTCCCATCGACTAGAGCTGTGTGTAAGAAACTTGAACCAGCAGGCTTATGATTTCTTTAGATGCATAGGAACTTCCAAATCTTCATACTATCTTACTTCCACTGTAATAGTTTCTCCCTGTAAACATAAATATTTTAAGACATCATAGCCAAAGATATTTATCAGTAGTAATCTCGGTGACAATTAATGCGGATGAGTGATAAAGAAGGTGAATAAATCGATGATGACTTTACCTATTTATCAAGGAAGATTAGTTTGATTCTCATAATGTTGCCGCCTTTCTTGATGTTGCGGGAAGGCCATAAGCAGGGGAGGCAAAATTTGATAAGCAATGTATATTTGCGACTTTGCACGACGAAGTATCTCTCTCTCTTTGCCATCAAAGATAACGTAGCATCCCGAAGAGAAGAAGAAACCCTAAACCCCTGATGGGGTACAAATTTCCAACCAAAAAATAAGTAAATATCTAAACTATTATACAAGATGGTTATAGCAGAAGACTCTATCGTATCAAGGTCAGATTTAGTTGATGATAGATTTTTCCTCTCTCTTCCTAACTACGGAGAAATTGAAAAGAGGGTAACAAAAAAGTCAGCTTTCCTCACGGTAATCTCAGTTTCAATTATATGTGTATTGTTAAAAAGGTTGTGTAAGTTGAGATACCACAATTACCTATGTTTCTCTTTTTGACTCGCAGATGTTATAGGAAGAATTCATGATCCTTGTGATGTATAGACCGTTCAAGTTTCTGGCCAAGACAGATAGAGGGTTCAGTTTCGTTTAGTTGACCGTTGAAGCTCCGCCTCCTCCTCCTCCTCCCCTGTTTCTGACCCGGTAAATTCAACAAGGTTTTCACTTGAAGATTATACAGGGTACGGGCTCTATATATCAAAGATAAATGTCTTTGTATTCGACATCTGAGATGATCATGTTTAAAAAAAAATCATAACACAAAATACAGATTAGGACAACTAATCGAAACAAATACAGATCAAACGGAAATCTATAAACTCAAACCTTTATGCCATGATATGCAGTAGAAATAAGTAGATCTATCTTGTGGCATCCTTCTTGTGAAAGAAATCAAAGGCGTTTAGTTAGATCTCGCCACATCAATAGACGCACCGACAAAGAGTTCTGTAGAGGAAAAAGTATTTTCTACGGGAAAACCAAAGTGCTTAAAACAAAGACATGTTTTTGTTTTCTTTCCGGAAAAAAAATATGGGCTTTGATTTGGGTTTTAGTTTAACATTTTTTTTGGGTTACAAATTATTCATCTTTTAAAATCATAATTATAATGGTCCACATTAATTACCCTTTGTCAATTTTATTACTGAAGATATACTAGATAGATTGTTTTTACGCGGTTACTTTTCTAATTGGTTATATAGTTACTATCAATATTCTTTTTTCTAAAAGCTACATAAACAGTAATTTAAATGCCATTGTTTTAAATGATAACATTTATGTTTTCTTATTTAATAAAACTTTTAAATCTCAAGCTATATAAACAACTATTTTAAAAAACTTTGAAATGACAAAACTTCTATTTTTTATTAATAAAATTTTCAAATCTCAATTTAATTATTTGATATTATAAATTTTATGTTTAGTTTACCAAGTAAAACAACTCAATACAATATAAGAAGAATACAATCTCATACTTTAAAAATTCACACTCAAAAAAATAAACATGATACATCAATGTATAGTCTCAATAAAATGAAACAATAACATCAACGTTTTTAAAACATGCAAAAACATATTATCACATCATACATCCGCGCGGGTGCGCGGATCAAAAGCTAGTGATCCATTAAGACCAACCCGATAGGAAAATAAAAATAAAAATGGAGCTCACATTAATGCTAACATGTACATAGGAGGTAACAAAACTTTTTTATTATAATATAGATTATTGATATGTAGATGTCATGGAAAAGATAAATTCTCTACGATAGATCTAATTTTGTTTGTTACAAATATATATTTTAAAAATAAAAATGATCAAAATAAATTTAAATATTTTATTAAAATAAATAAATATACATTTATACCTTTTCTGTTAATTAATCCTATACATTTTTGTTTAGACTTTAGGAATGAGATTTTGGGGATAGAATTTCAAATTTTACTAAATAAATAAACTTAAAATTTTCAAAAAATGTTATTTTGGTCATTTTAGTTTTTGAAGTTTATTTTTGTGAAAAAAACTTTAAAAAAAAATTATTTGAGAGAATTACCCTACGAGAAAACCTCTATAAAAGAATGCCCTTCACATACAAGTGGAAATGAAAATGAGATGGAAGTAGTGGACATAATAAAATTAAATTTCAGCCATAATAAATAATTAAATAAACGAGTGAAAGCATGAATCCAATAAAAGGCGACAGCTTTTTTAAGGGAAATTTGGCCCAATATTCATAGTAACCCAACAAAAACAATGGATAACCATAGTAACGTCATGGTTAGGCTAAGGTTACCTTTTTCTCGTTAATCCTTATATTATCCTTCATTTGCGCGTGAAAGAAAATCATTTCTTTTTCTCAGCTTACCATACTATATTATATATACATATAATAGTATAGTTTCTTAGAATCTCCACCACCAATACCACCACCACGTCTTCCTCTTCATCCTCCTCCTCCTCCTATCTCACTCCATTTTATTCACTCTCACCAACACTTCTTTCTCATCATCTTCCTCAACCTCTCTCAATCCGCTTCAATCATTTACACCAACACCTCCTCCTCTTCTTTCACTCAATCACTTCCTCTCTCCTCCTCTATCACCACCTCCTCCTCCCTCTCTTTCTCCTCTCTCACTCCGCTTCAATAATCACTTCCACCAGCATCTCCTCTTCCCCCTCCTCCACCAACACCACCACCACTACCTCGTCTCTCACTTCACTTCAATTACTTCCACAACACTCCTCCTCTTCCTCTCTCATCCCGGTTTAATGATTTTCTCCTTCTACTTAGTTTTCTAATTTGAGTCATGTTTATACTACGCATCAACACCATGTCAGAGATATGTTCTATTATGTATTCCTGCTTTCATCGAACTAAACATTCGCGTTGTATCTCTCTATTGAATGACTATAATATATGTTGTATAGTATAGTAACGTTTTTTTAGTTATTAGTCTTTTATGTATTTTATGCAACAATGAACTATGTTTGTATTGTGACATAGCAAACAACTTTCATTACTATATTATTACATTTTTAATATAGTATAAATGGCAACTGGCATACGCAACATTTAGTTTATATCCCATTTTATATTAGATTTCACAATTTGGGACCTCTATAATTTTACTTATTATAGACTTTGTTTCTTATGGCGGCAGTTAACACATTGTCGCAACCGATAAACTTCAGTGTGGTTACTTCTTGTACATAACATAATCAAATAAACATGTTCTTTGTTTCCATTCGACTATACTATACTAGTTGTGTATAGTATAGAATCATATGATGTTTTGTTCTACATGAATTATACTATATGGCATATAATATAGTAATATGTGGTCCATTTCAAATTTTGATTGTATATGAATTATACTATATGGCATATAATATAGTAACAAGTTCTTTACACTATATTTGTGATTTTACCAACTAACCATATATTAATATGCCACATTTTTTTCTGTACTATAAAGGCTATAGTATCCAACTTATGTTTTACTCCCCCATAAACTGTCCTCAAATCCATATAATCATTATAATCATATAATCATTATTTGGTCTTTCTCTTCTTCTACTAAACGAACTCATTTGTAGTATAGTTTTTGGCTTTCACTTTATCTTCCTGCTATAGTACGTGATATATGTGCATATAGGTCTGAATAGTGTTAGATGTGTGTTACAATATTTCTGCTCACTTGCCTCAAACCGACGCACATGCGCGTGAAAGGACAAAATAGTCCAAAACCAGTGCAAATTTTCAAATCAAATTGTTATGTGTATATACTTCATTTTCGTGTTTACTATGAATATTGTGCAAATTGCCCCCTTTTTTAATTATCAAATTTCTAAAAGTAAAAAATATCAAGTGGAAATGAAAATGAGATGGAAGTAGTGGACATAATAAAATTAAATTTCAGCCATAATAAATAATTAAATAAACGAGTGAAAGCATGAATCCAATAAAAGGCGACAGCTTTTTTAATTATCAAATTTCTAAAAGTAAAAAATATCTCATTTTGCTCCCGGCGGGGCTCGAACCCGCGACCTTCGGCTCATAAGACCATCGCTCTAACCAACTGAGCTACGGGAGCTTGACAATATACTGTGATTTACAATGAAATAATACATCGATGTGTCATTGTATGAGGTCTACGTCTACCCAATTAGGTCTGGGCGTTCGGGTCTTCGGGTCAGGCCGGTTCCTTACGGGTCCGGATTTTTCGGGTCTTAAACATTTAGACCCAATGGATATTTAAAAATTTTCGGTTCGGGTTTGGATCGGTTCTTTTCGGTTCCAGTTCTTTCGGGTAAAAGAAATTTAGACCAAATAGGTACTTATAAATTTACGGTTCGGTTTCTGATCAGATATTTTCGAATCGGTTCCAGGTCGATTCCAGGTCGGGTTTTCAGGTCCAGGTTAAAATGCCCAGGCGTATACCCAATATTAAATACAGATACCCGTAACAGATCGATATGAACATAAAATTAGTTGTTATTTGTTACTGATACTTTTTGCTCGGTTCATTCGTCCATAACCCGAGAGTTCAGAGAGCTAATCATTAGATGTTTTGCCTCCAAAAGTTAATGAACGTCAGCCTCTGATGATAGATATTACAAGTGAAGTGGTTTATATTTTCTTTTTTTGCAGTAGTGTCGAAGAAACAATAGAACTTTAACATCCACGAGTATACAATATAAAGGGAAAGGAGAAGAATAGATGCTGAAGAAACAGAAATATTTTTTTTGTGAAGAAACAGAAAGAAGCTTTAATAACAGTGTTTCAAACACATCAACACTGACAAATCTCAGAAATGTAACTTGAGTTTTTTACACTCTCCATAACATAAAAAAAAAAAAAAAAAAAAAAAAAAAAAAAAAAAAAAAAAAAAAAAAAAAAAAAAAAAAAAAAAAANAGGAGGTATGCTATGAAACATGTCCACAGAGGATAAGTTGTGCGGAAGCTAGCAAAACTTCCCATCACCAAACAAACAATGAGAATCACCAACACTTCTGATGAGAAATTCCACGTCAGTCCTCGAACGTAGACGATTGCTAAGAACACCGAGAGACACAAAATGTTGTTCATTGTCACTCCACCACATAGCTGTGACACACACACCCACCATGAAAGATGGTTTTAGTAACAAGAATAATGAGACAAAGAAGATGGTTCATAACAGAATAAACGGACCTCGGAGAAAGTTAAGGAGGCTGTTCTGATCTTCTTGCGGGAGGCAAAGATGATGGCAGAGACTGCTTCACTTGAGTTGGTGGCTAGAGGCAAAGCGATGAAGGAAATGAAGAAAGATGGGATCCCTGTGGCTGCTGAGAAGTTGTTAACTGTGTCCACTAAAGGATCAGCAAATGCAGCAGCAATGGCTGCTCCTAGCAGCAGCAGTAAAGCTGCTTTAAAGGTGATCCATTTTGGGTCTGCGACCTCACCAGACTCCTCATCATTCTCACCATTTTCATTGTCTCCCAACAGAGCATGCTCTCTCTTTGTTTGCTGCAAAACAAAAACAATTGTGTTAACTCCAGAGAGGCCTAGTGACTCTAGTGTGCTAAAAAAATGGTATTCACTTACCACATGG